AACTCTGCCCTGTATCTATCTGCTGCTCTGATGTGACAACAGGTGAGTTTTTGACCATATTGACACAGGCATAAAAACATCATTAGAGCCTTATCAGCTTTTATGGCATAGCTCCACGTTCTCATTGGATAACTCATCGCTTTTGTCTTGACATAATCCCAAACTCTGGACTCTGCTGCCGCTAATGTTGACTGATGTGCCAGTGCCACCTCAGGAAAGCTGCTGTTACTCACATTATGGGAGTAAGTGTGGGACAGATGCCACACATCAAGCTTTACATTAAGGTTTGTTTTTTTTTTTTTTCTTTCTTTTTTTTTACAGTAGTAGACATACTGTAGCATACAGATGAGGCACTGAAGAAAAAGTACTGCAACTCTTATATATCACTCATGAAGCATAAAGTCCTGCTTTTCAATATTACTTGAGTCAAAGTGCAAAACTACCTGATTTTTAATGCAGTAAAAATGTAGTTACTGATGAAGGTTTGTTTTCCATGACAGCTGATTTACTAGAATGTGTGATACATTAATATCCACACTAAACCTACAATAATTTAGGTGAAGCATTTGAAACCACATTCATCTATTTTTTAAAATCAGTTTGTAAAATCAGTGAATCATTCGTTCATTCTGAATGAGTCAACTGAATCAGTGAATCATTCGCTGTAGACTCACTCTGGACAGATCATTTTAATCAGTCGCTTATTCACTGGGGACTTACTCTGAACAGATTGAGGGAATCAGTGAATCATTTACTGAATCTGAATGGATTGATTGAATCATTTACTGTAGCCACTGAATTCACCATTTGAATCAATGAATCATTTAAAGGAGACTCACTCTGAATGGATCATTGGAATCGATAAGTGGATCATTTAATGGAGACTTTGAACGCATCATTTAAATCAGTGAATTATTTAATGGAGACTCATTCTGAATGGATCATTTAAATTAGTAAATATTTCACCAAAGATTCACTCTGAAAGCTCCGTCTTCTTTCCTTGTCTTTGGCTAGGCAGACCCTCGGTTTTTAGCTTTACATAGCGTTGAGTCTGGTAATCATGAAGCATTATTTCTTGCACATGACCACACAGAACAACATTGTTGGCATCCAAAGACTTGTAGGCCTTTAAAACTTCTCTCCTGTAAAATCACTTGGAGTTTCAATGAGATAGTTGTAAACTTGGAGCTAGATGCTTGGCCATTTCGTCTTATCCAATATCCATTGGGAGGGCGCTATCACAAGTGGACCTGTCAGATGAACGTTGCTCACTTTAATGTTAATTTTGCAGAATATTTGTGCTTATCACTGGGTGACAAGCTGTAATAATACGCTGAAAGCATCATGTAAATAATATATAATATGTAATCAATATAACTTATTATTTTTAAGACAACAACAAACTCTGTATCTGCATCGGATGTCATTACCTCACTGCAAATGCTAGCGCTAACGGATTTTGTTCTGCAACCTCTCTGCGTGCGCATTCTGAATGTTTACAAACATGGTTATTTGTCTATGGTGCCAACCTGCTGGATTAGCTAGATTCAATAGATTTTTATTCAGTATATAAATCATGTTTTAGTTTTGGATTAGTTTCTTACATTAATATTTAGTAAATATACTGTAAGTTAAAATCTTGCCAGTGTTTCCGGATGAAACCGAAAGTGGTTTTAAGCTTTTAAAATGTATGGAAAGAGTTATAAAGGTCTTAAAAGGTATTGAATTTCACTCTCTGATTCCTGTATACTCTGTAGACCAAAATTACTGTGCTAAAAATCTAGTATTCTGATATAGTATTCAAATTGTCTGAGATACTAAATTTTGGGGTTTCAATAGCTGCAAGTCATAATCAACAACATTAAAAGAAGTAAACACTTGACATATATCAGTCTGTGTTTATTGAATCTATATAATCTATATCTTTCTTTTTTAATTGATCTACTGGAATAAACTTTTTGATGACATACCAGTTTATTGAGATTATTTATTGAGCATTATATCACCACCGGACACATGCATTAGAAAAAAAATCGCAAGGGTTAACCTTAGGGTGGCACTATATGATGGCACTTTTTCAGCTGAACTCCTTTTGGGGACTGTGGGGGAAGCCGGAGCACCCGAAGGAAACCCATGTCAACACAGGGAGAACATGCAAACTCCACACAGAAATGTCAACTGGCCCAGCCGGGACTCGAACCAGTGACCATCTTGCTGTGAGGCGACAGTGCTAACCACTGAGCCAACTTGCCACCCATGATATTATCATTTACTATTTAATCATAGTATTTAATTACAGTAGTTTGTTGTTGTGAGCATTGCTTACTAATGTTTTGTGGGAAACCTATTACTCAAAAGTGATATCCATATGAAATATTAGAACACATACCCTTATATAAATACACAGCAAAATATAAACCTGTGCATTTATGTAAAGCTAAACCTAGTTTCAGTAAAATACATTTTATTATTTATTAAACAGTTTTTATATTTCATCTAAATATTTATTTGATACAGCAAAGTGATTAGCGCTTCTGTGAAATATGGATTGTTTTTCAGATATTTCTTCACCGATATTTAATGGAGCAAGACAATCTTTTTACAGTGATTTCTATAATATTTTTTCTTCTTCTGGAGAAAGTCTGATTTGTTTTATTTTGGCTAGAATAAACACAATTTTTAAAACACAGTTTTAGGTCAATATTATTATCCCCCTTAAGCCATTTTTTTTCTGTAGTATACAGAACAAACTATCATTATACAATAACTTTCCTAGTTACCCTAATTAACCTAGTTAACCTTTAAATGTCACTTTAAGCGGAATACTAACATCTTGAAATGATCTAGTAAAATATTATGTGCTGTCATCATGGCAAAGATAGCCTAATGTTTATAAATGTGTTAAAAAATCCTCTCTCTGTTATACAGAACTGCTGTCTGTGTTAACCTTATCAGCAAAGAACTACACATTATCGCAGTTTATTTTGTGATGATAGTTTAATGCAGTTCCTGGAGCACCACCAACACTGCATGTTTTGTATGTCTTCTTTGTCTGTCACAGCCATTCCTTTCAGTCTCTGCTAATAAGCTGATGATCTGAAGCGGGTGTGTTTGGTGGAGGAGAATGTGCTGAGCTGGTGGCCCTCCAGGAACTTGGTTGAGAAGCACTGGTTTAAAAGACATTGTAGACCACTTGAGAACTCAAGCGGCTATTTTTTATTTATTTTTTACTTCCTCCTTCAAACAAAATGCAATTGGTTCAATAAGTACAACTTATTTTCTTTTACAGCTAATAACATTACTTGGAAAATATCACAGTCATGTAAAGAAATGAGCTGAAGATAAGCCAAATTGTTAACATTTTATAAAAGTTAAAGTTCAATTTATTTATAGAGCACATTTCAAAACAGTCACAAGACTGATCAGAGTGCTGTACGAAAGACAACGTAAAAATAAAACAACAAAAATATAAGAACATAGAAATACGACAAGAGAAACATCTGAAAAATGTAGCAGTATAAAGAACTATTAAAATAATGTTAAAAAGCCAAGCTAAAAAGGTACTTTTTAAGAAGTGATTTAAAAATAGATAATTATGGAGCCATTCTAATCTCAAGGGCCAAAGTGTTCCACAACTGAGGACCCACCACAGAGAAAGCTTATAAAAGAGATTAAACACTATGGTAGGCCTACATACCACACTGTGTAACGTTAGAAACAAAAAGCTAGAAAAAAATAACACACTCAGCATTATGCAAATTTCATTTGGTTAATGAAATGTTGTTATTATTATTATTATTATTATTATTATTATTATAAATTATTATTTATTGTTTTTACCCATGGCAACTGATTATGCTTTGATTGTATTTGTTCTTTGTCTCTTTTTTTTATTATTTTTTATGTTGTGAGATGTATATATTTGTACTAAGTCTATACATATTTCACAATTAAAACTAATTATATTGATTCAATTTCCTTTGTAAACAGTAGCTTACTACCATCGATATGTACACTAGAGATGTCGCCTGGCCTATTGTTGTCTTTTGGAAGGAATGCGTCAATAGCGCCGCCATCTTGCTACAGAGTAGCGCTTCTTTGAAATGAATGCGGGACCAAGGTACAGTGGAGGACTGTGGCCATCCAAAGCCAGAGATATACACATATACACATCTATGATCGGGAGTTTTCCTGGATGTTAGTATGTATATTTTTTTCTAATTACGAAATTTATAATTTTACATCACTTTTCTACATTGATGGATCAGTGACCGCACGGGCATTCCTGACAAAAAGCTTGTGTTTGTGTGTACAGAAATATACTATTCACCCTCGCTGTTAAATTTAATCTAATCCGTGTCCTGAAACACAGCTCCTCTCCTGCTTTCACTTCTCATACTGATGGAGGGAGCGATTCGTTTGTGAATTAATCCCCCCAACAACTCTTTCACTAACGTTAGCAGACAATAATACAAGTTTCTGGCAGCGCAGCATCTCGTTGTCATATTTCTTTTGCATTGTTTGCTGATTTTATTCAACAAAACTAGCATAAGCCGAGTATTTAGTGCGAGTTGGAGCTGCTTTGCCGTATGGTGAATGCAGTAAGTGACTGTTATCATCAATAACGTGACCTGATTAGCACAAAAGTTCAGAACATACAAAAACAAAAAAACTTAATATTACCTATAAAATGTTCTGCCTTTGTGCTTTGTTTTCTTTCTTTGCTCGTTACTACACATGTAGACAGCGCTAAAGTCCCGCATCTTCACGTAATAACACTGTCTTGACTAGTGCAGTTGAATGACGTTTGTCCTGGGAGCACTGTACCAATGTGGCGGCGCTATTGACGCATGCTCAGGGTCCCTATGCGATATCTAGTGTATATATCTATGGCTTACTACTACTGAAACACCCCAGCCAATCAGTTTACTCTAACATGAAAACGTCACGGTACGTCATTAATATTAATAAGTCAAGACGCTGAGAGAGTCTGGCTGGTTGGAGCTCGAGACAAATCCGCTGGAGAAAGAGCGAGGAAGGAGAGATATGTGAACATATCTGCTTGTTTGAGTCTCCTGTTACTTTTAAGTAAGTTAAACATTCAGTTTTACACCAACATGAGGACATATTACAAGTGTTTTTAACTTTAAAATCCGTCCGTAGCGTAAGAGTATCGATTGTTGTGCTCCTGTATTATTTTAAGATTTAGTTTTAGCCACATATGCTCGTGACATTACTGTGAATGTGTGCATTTGAGAGTCTGTGTATGTCTTTAAAGTTAATTTGAGCTGTTTTTGCAGCATTTATTAGTTAATAACTAGTTTACATGTGCATTTTGAGTGGTCACACCTGGCAAAAACTAACAAAAGTACTATTGTTTTGCGCACGTTGCGTTACTTCCATCGTTTAGTTTGACTGTTTCTAAAATATGATAATTATTATGTACCAGCAGACAGTTTTAGACTTTTATCATGAAAGTTTGTGACTGAGGTAACGTTAAAGTTGGTTTTATATTCTCGCATTCGTTCATTTTAACGGTCTCTATATTGTTTACCACGCTAACGTTACTTTGAATATTCTGTCTGAAACAGCATTGAAGTATGACTTTAAAACACCTAGCTAACATGATTACCCTATTTTATAACCTGCTTGTTGAACTTGTCAGCCCGAGGGTGTTTGCCCGGTTGTGCTAATCCGTTTATCCCTTTAACAACACGAGCTGCCCTGCTTTCCTTTGAGTGTCAGATTGATGACTGCGCATATTTCACACATGATCAGTTTCACAAGAATCACAATATAGCCAATCATGTTTTGGTCAAAGGTTAATAATGTATATAAAATGATCAATATTAGTGCCCAATATTCATTTGTTTTGTGTGTGTGTGAAGGTGAATTTACCTTTCTGATGGCTGTTCATATTTTACCATAATTTCAAAACATAACATTAGCTTCATTCAACAGACCCACATGCCAGACAAATATGTTTGTTTTTGTATTACCCATTCATGACTTAAATATAAACAATAGCAAATCTTATAAAACAGACATTTTACCTTGGCATTTAAAAAAATATTTATTTTGCATTATAAACTTAAATTTTAACTAAACATTGCAAAAATGGACTAACAGGATTTTTTCTTGGGCAATATTAGGGCCCAAACATTTTTTTTATTTATTTATTTTTTTATTTTTTTTTGTGGGTGAATTTATCTTTATAATGCGTGTTCTCATGCATATTTGAACAATGTTGCAGATAAAATTAGCTTTATTATATTATGCAACAGAACTTTTACCTTAAGTCCTGCATTGTTTTGTATATGATTGTTTATTTAGCTTCATAATCTTAATTTTTAACCAAACGTGGCAAAAATGGAGTAACAGGATTGTTTCTTGGGCAATGTTAGGGCCCAATCATTTTTATTTATTTATTTTTTATTTTTTTAATTTTATTTTTTTTTTGTGAGTAATTTTATCTTTATGATGGGTGTTCCCATGCATATTTTAACATAATGTTACAAATAACATTAGGTTTATTCAACAGACCCACATGCCAGGCAAATATATGTGTGTGTTGTTTTTGAATTACCCATTCATGACTCTAATTACAAATGGCAAATTTTATGAAACAGACATTTTACATTGGAATTTTACCCTGAGCTCAGCATTTTTTTAAATGATTTGTTTTGCTGGCTTCATAAACTTTTTTTTAACCAAACACAGAGTAACAGGATTGTTTCTTGGTCAATATTAGGGCCCAAGATTTTTAAATAGTTTTCTTCATTTATTTTTGTGTGTTTGAATTTACCTTTCTGATGGGAGTTCTCATGCATATTTTAACATCATTTTATATATAGCATTAGCTTCATTCAACAGACTTGCCCGGCAAATATGTGTGTACTGTTATTGTTTTTGTATTACCCATTCATGACTCAAATTACCCGTAAACAATATCAAATCTTATGAAACCTTGGCATTTTACCCTGAGTCCTGCGTTTTTTTTTTTTTTTTTTTGTAAATGACTGTTTAATATGCTTCATAAACTTAATTTTTAACCAAAAATGGAGTAACCGGGTTGTTTCTTGGTCAATATTAGGGCCCAGTCGTATTTTTTTGTTTGTTTTTATTTTTTGGGTGAATTGACCTTTCTGATGGGAGTTTTTGTACATATTTTAACATAATGTTACAGATAACATTGGCTTTATTCAACAGACCCACATACCAGGCAAATATGTGTGTGCGTTGTTATTGTTTTTGTATTGCAAAATGCACGACTCAAATTACTTCTAAACAATATTAAATGTTATGCAAAAGAAGTTTTACCTTGGCATTTTACTCTCAGCCCAGCATTTTTTGTAAACGATTGTTTATTTTGCTTCATAAACTTAATTTTTAACCAAACACGGCAAAAATGCAGTAAGAATTGTTTTTGATCAATCTTAGGGCCCAAGCATTTTTAATCGTTTTATTTTGTGGGTGAATTTACCCTTCTGATTGGGAGTTCTCATGCATAATTTAACATCATTTTATATATAGCATTAGCTTTATTCAACAGAACCACATGCCAGGCAAATATGTGTGTGTTTTGTTAATGTTTTTGTATTACTCATGCATGACTCAAATTACATAGAAACAATATCAAATGTTATAAAACAGAACTTTCACCTTGGCATTTTACCCTGAGTACTGCATTTCTTGTAAATGATTGTTTATTTTGCTTCATAAACTTTAATTTTTAACCAAACATGGCATATATATATATATATGTATATATATATATATATATATATATATATATATATATATATATATATATATATATATATATATATATATATATATATATATATATATATATATATATATATAAAATACAAATTATATATGATTGATACAAATGATATATTTTCTACCTGTGTGTCTTAATGCAAGCTTTACATTTTAAATAATTAGATTTCTTAAAATGAATTTACAACTAAAACAATATATATAATTTTACTGCAGCACTGCTGCATGATTGGGGGTGTAGGATATTTTTTCATAATTTTTATTACATAAGATTATATAATAATAATAATTTTTTTTAGTATATGAGATATTTAATAGCACAATAATTTAATTTGTTTGACTATCTTTATCGAAAATATTAAAGAAATCAATGTTATGTTTTATATAGTTTATACAGTAGGTATAATTTATTCTTCTAGATATTTATTGTGGGCCACCCCAGATGTCCTGGGCCCCAAGCGGCCGCTTGCCTTGCTCATTGGTTAAATCTGTCTCCCTGCCATGGCTTCACATTAAAACTTCCAACTTGTACCTGAATGTTGGTTATTGATCTGTCAGCTTATTTTCTGTCTTTCTTCTTTAAACAGAATGGAGAACTCCTCCAAAGAAGACTACAAGATCCAGTCATTTGATTTAGAGACTCAGAAACTTCTCAAAACTGCCTTGAAAGGTCACTATATTTGATATGGTGTATGTTTTGCATTATCCATTCTGCTTGGAGTCTCAAATGTTATTGAATTATTATTTAATTATTATATATTATACAACAAACCACCTGTAGGACATGCTCTCTCATCTCCATATGCTTGAATAATATGATAATTTCAGTATATATAGTAAGTTAGACTTATAGCATTTATATTCTGGTGCTTCTCTCTGATGATTTGAAGTGCTTCTGTTATTTTTATATTGTAAGTCACTTTGGATAAAAAAATAAATTAAATGTATTATATTAAGGTATTTTTAATTGTCAGACCCAGGATCTGTTGACCTAGAGAAAGTGTCCAGTGTAATAGTGGACCAGTCTCTGAAGGACCAGGTCTTCAGCAGGGAGGCCGGACGCATCTGTTACACCATTGTCCAGGTAAACAAATGTGCCACATACACGTTTTAATTAGGGCTGCATGATATTGGAAAAATATGAGGGGAAATCAGTAGCAAACCTTGAGAGCTTGCAAATCTAAATGTGAGAACTTGTGATAGTAAACTGTGTATGTTGAAATTGACACTGATGTGAATAGTCGAATCTCTCGATTTTCACCCTTATACAGTTTAATAATCAAAACACCTGATGCAGATTAATAGTTCTGTGTTTGTAAAATGTCATTTAGGATTGCAATCTGACAGACACAAAATTGTATGCAAACTTACCTGTGTGTTTTAATGCAGTTTTGTGGTGCAACCACAAGTCGGCGCTCACAACCTTTTAGATTTGGCAGTTTCAATCCTCACGTTCTGCTACACATTTTGCAATAGTCCAGAGAGTTAATTTCAATCTACACATACAAATATTATCCCAAGTTCTCACAGTTAGATTTGCAAGCTCTCATTGTTTGCTACTGATTTACCTTTATAGAAATGTTTTTTTTTTAAATGCAAATGTTTGTGAAATGTTGACTTTCTTTAATTTAAATTGCAATTATATCATTATTCAGATAACTTGAAAAAAATGTGAAAAAATGAACTATTTTAGATTGATTGGGATGATTTTGTTGGATAGCTAATTTGCATAAATTGCAATAAGCAAATTACAAGCATATATAAGTACAGTAGAGTAAATGCACAAATGGAGTCTAACAATATTCAGGTACAGAAATAAAATAATGAAACGTATAATAAAGCATTAATTATTTGCATAATATTTCAAATACAATAACAAATAATAATAATTAAGTACAGTTAAACTTTGTTAAAACTACAAACATAATATTCCTGGTGTCTGAATGCTTGAACTTGCTTAAAATGCATACACGGTTACAGGCCCTTAAAAACATTCGCACAAACGTTTACAGCTTGCCCAGAGGAAGAATCAACTTGTTTCATACAATCATCATGATCCTCTGTATTATTAAAACCAAAGAGTAAATCTAGGTCTTTTGGGTGTGAATGTACTCTGAATTTTTGTAGACTGAAATGTCATGTTTTCATTGCAAAACATTAGTGTTTGCCACAAGGAAGAAAAAAAAACACTGTACAAACACTGGGATGTGATAAAGATCTTTATTGTTTACCTGTTGTGATGCTGCATGTTTTTGAGATGCATTTTACTGTCATATTACTTGCAAATACAGGTAGACGACAGAAAGTCAGTTTAGCTGAAGAAAATCTTTATAAACTGTAAATGAAAAAAAAAAAAAATCACGTTATTATGGTTAAACTGAAGTGACTCTTCCATGTTTGTGTGTTCTGAACTGTTGTATTTGGTCAGCTATAATCCTGGCTTCACATTGAACATACTGTAATGTGAGAATTGTGGATTCACACATTCAATTCAGCTTTATTTACATTTACATTTAGTCATTTAGCAGACGCTTTTATCCAAAGCGACTTACAAATGAGGACAAGGAAGCAATTTACACAACTAAGAGCAACAATGAATAAGTGCTATAGGCAAGTTTCAGGTCTGTAAAGTTATTTGTATAGCGCTTTTACAATGTAGATTGTGTCAAAGCAGCTTCACATAAATAGTCATATTAACTGTAACATTGCGATATCTATGCTAAAACGATCTATATTGTGCAGCCGTAATTTTAATGCACAACACTTAACTGTTCAGATAGATAAAAAAAGCTTGGGTAATCAAACATTTGTACACCTTTGAATTGAACACCTATTATGCAAAAATCATTTTAAAAGTGCTTTAGACACAGTTGTGTGTTAGCAGTGTGTGAATAACCAGCTTCTAATGGTAAGAAGATATTAATTCTGTTTTTGTAATCACACTTCCTAAAAACAGTCTGCAGAAACACTTTGTTTGACATTCTCCTTTGCATTTCATCAAACTGGAAAAGTCTCACCTATTAGTGACGTTCTCTCCGTCATTAGCATAAACAGCCCTGAGTGAAGCAGCCGTCCACCATTAGTTTTCTTTAAACAGATAAATTTAGTCCTGTTTTGGAATTTGCCACTGCTGATGTACAGGCATTTGTAGCTCCGCCCTCTTTTGAAAAGAGCACAATTTCATTTGAATTTAAAGTGACAGACACCAAAACGGCACAATTGGGATCAAAGCCTAAAAGGGACAGTTTCAAAGAGTTATAAAACATTATTTGTGGTGTATTTTAAGCTGAACCTTTACAAATACACTCTAGGGATATCAGAGACTTGTTTTACATCTTGTAAAAGGGGGCTTAAAAGGTCTCCTGTTATACTGTGTTGTCTTGCTTTATTCAGGCGGAGGCCAAACAGACGAACGGGAGTGTGTTTCGGCGTAATCTGCTCAATCGACTGCAGCAGGAGTTTAAAGCCAGAGAAGAGACGAGAAAGAGGTCGACTCAGGAGTGGGTTTGTCTCGTGTCCTTCATCTGCAACATCTTCGACTACCTCAAGGTGAACAGCGGCCTTCTGTTTTTATGCCTGAAGCTTCAGTACTTGTTTTTATTGTTAATTATCTGAAATGAAAAATTCGATCAGTAAGTGTGACAATGGTCCAAAATGTTTGTTCGTCTTGTGACTTTATGTATAGTTAAAGTCAGAATTATCAGCCCTCTTAAATTATTAGCTCCCTGTATATTTTATCCACCCAATTTCTGTTTAATGGAATGAACAGAAAAGCATATCAATGCATTTCTAAACATAATCATTTAAATAACAAATTTATTTTTAACGGTGGTGCAGTGGATAGCACGATTGCCTCACAGCAAGAAGGTTAAGTCAGTTGGCATTTAACAGTCCAAAGACATGCGCTATAGGTGAATTGAATAAGCTAAATCTCTTATATAAGGGCATTTGCTGTGATAAGTTTTATGCTGGATAAGTTGGTGGTTCATTCCACTGTGGCGACCCCTGATTAATAAAGGGACTAAGCCGAAAAGAAAATGAATAAATGAATTTCCAATATTTGATTTCTTTTATCTTTGCCATAATGACAGTACATAATATTTGACTAGATGTTTTGCAAGATATTATGTGGTTTCCTCTATATTCTTTCATGGCAGGGTGTCACACCAAAGTTCATTCCCGCCACGGCTACATTACAGCTTCTCATTCAAAACATTCAGCAGTTGTTGTTTTTTTATTTTTAATAGCGGGTTATAATTGCACTAAAACATATTAAAAGGTAAGCGAATTTTAACTGCGTGAACGTTTCTGTAATCGTAGTAGTGCTGTGCGTTATTTGTTTAACCCTTTAAGGTGACATGCTGACTGACAGATGCGTGAGTCCAGCAAACGCGATGTAGCTTTCAGTTATGATGGACACAGTTTCCATAAATATACTTCATTTATAAATAAAAGTTTATGGTTCTGCATACTATGACTTTATCTTGCTGGAGTTTAGGGCCGTTTCACTTTACTTCAGGATGCATCAATGCCATTCTATAGGTCTATTGGAGACATTCATAAATACTCCTAGCAAATCAAATAAATGGAGACATCCTCGTTACATAAACGCACTAAATTACACTTCAGCAGCGTTTATTTGAGAGCGCACAAGAAAATTTTAGCTTGAACATCGTATATTTGAGGGGGCGTGCAAGAAGTTTTGTGCACAAACAGAGGAAATTGGCACGCAAGCAAAGAGATTCACATGCTCATATTACATTAATGCAATCTCGAGTTGTAATGCTGTGCTCAAGACCTGCTATTAGAAATAAAAAAGAAACAGCAACAACTGAATGCTTTGAATGAGTAGCTGTAATGTAGCCGTGGCAGGAATGAATTTTGGTGTGGCGCCCAACCATGGAAGAATAAATGTAGTGGAAACCATATGCACATTATATTTGAGAAACTGCATTTGCATACTATAGTATTGAATTTAACAAATTGTATTAAAGTTTTTAAACAAATTGAGAACATTACTGACATTTTTTATGTAAAAATTAGGTGGGAGTGAAATGTTAATTAGAGTGAGGACATGGCAGTACTTATGCTGGGGTATGAATTACAATAATGCTGGAATTAAAATAAACTGTGCCTTAAAGTCCTTGAATCTGCTGTTCATAAACTTGTGGGAACCCTGCACCCACTTTTATTTGTGTAAATTTGTCTGATGCTCTAATAATCCATTTCATTTGCAAATATTTGAGAAATGTAATGAATTTACAGTCAGCCTCTGTGTTCCTTCTTGGCTTGAATTGTTTACCAGCCAACTCGAAAATACAGATTAAAAGTATCGACCATCGTCTTGCTGTTTCCCGGCCTATATATTCAGAGTCACAGTAATAAATCACAGTTATATATGCAGAATCACAGTTATAACTCCATAAAGCGCTTGCTAATTCTATTCTGTCCCCTGCAGGTCAACAACATGCCCATGGTGGCTCTGGTCCACCCGGTCTATGACTGTTTGTTCAGACTGGCCCAGTCAGATGCCCTGAAGAATGAAGAGGAGGTGAATGTCCAACATTATTATAGTGCTTGGTTGAAATTGATTGACTAATGAGTAGATGAATAGTGATGCATTGAAAAGTCTAAACCCAGTGTATTTGGCTGAAATGGAAAAGATCATAATTGAAAAAAAACAGTAATGCTTAGACAGCCCAAGTGAGAAACAGCCATTTTGAATCTGCTGATATGCTAATGCATTGGCATTTTTAGCTCCACCCTCTTTTCAATTTAGGGCTGGGAGCACAATCTCATTTGAATTTAAAGCGGCAGTCACCAAAAGGCCACAATTAGGATCTAAAAGAGGCAGTTTCAAAGAGCTGTAAAAAAGATTTTGTGTGGTATTTTGAGCTGAATCTTTATATACACACTCTAGATATTTCAGAGACTTATTTTGCACCTTGTAAAAAGGGGAATAATAGATCCTCTTTAAAGTATTTTTAAAGTCAAAAAGCTCTGTCTGTGTCTCTCAGGTGGACTGTCTGGTGCTGCAGCTTCACCGTATTGGAGATCAGCTTGAGAAGATGAATGTTCAGCTCATGGACGAGCTCTTCAATCTGCTGCGGGATGGGTTTCTCCTGCAGGAGGATCTGAGCTCCATGGGGCGCCTGCTTCTGCTGGAGATCCTGGAGTTTCGTGCTGGAGGCTGGAAGCTCAGCGACACAGCTCAGAAATACTACTACAGTGAAGTGACGGACTGAGGCTCCACCAATCAGCAATCAGTGGAACATGAAGACATTGGAACCAAGGATGGAGGTTTCATTTTTAAGATTAAAGAGATTGCACTTGTTATGCTTTCAATCCACTTGATTCAAACATGTTTGGTGAACAAATTAACAATATTATTATTTTTTTCTACTATAGCAGCTGGTGTCCAACATACTTTAAAATATCTTTCTTTTGTGTTTAACAGAAGAAAAGAAATCAAAGTTGGAATCACAAGACGGAGAGTAAATCTTGAGTAAATGTTCATTTTGGAGTAAATTATCTCTAAGGTTGCATTTACACTGCAGGCCTTGATGGTCATTGCCAGTTTATGACTGGATCAGATTTTTTTGATGACCCACTTACATCATCTTTTAAAAGTGACTCATATCCAGTCTGGTTTATGCTTCTGCCTCGAGTGATCGACGTGACTCATGGCGCATGGCTTGTGCATTACTGTGCATTTATACTTCTGCATGCTGTTTCTGTTGCTCTGCAATACAATACCGAAAAGCTAGTTGACAGTGAGGTTGTGTCGAGTTTCTTTGCTGGTGTTTTGTTTTTTTCTGAACGCTTCCTTAATATACAGTGTGCAACAACTTTAATCATAAGGTAAACACAAAACAACAGTCTCCATCCAAAACTCCTTCGCAGGACTCCACACTTATAAACATTTGCTGCATTGGGCTGGTGCGGCTCTCACTTACGCCCACACTCATCAGCAATACTAAGCTGACCAATCACAAAGCTTGTATTATGCATCGTTGTGACGCGTAGTTAAATTCTTTTAAGGGGTGCGGGTTAGCGTTGCCAACGGCCACAGCGAGGGTTATGCGACCACGTGTAGGCTTTCCTAGTTCCTCTGAAAGGCCCACCCTAATGAGGCTCTGATTGGTCAGCTAACATATTGTGCTGTGATTTCCGGATCGGCTCTACCTGATAAATGAATTAGTAGCTGAATTGTTAGTGGTGCCAAACAGCATTTCCTGTTGTTTACATCCTTGTTTATGTTCTTGCTCACTTTGAACTGTATCTGTAATAGAGGGGTAATAGGGGGTACATGTAATAGGGGTGTGTGCGGGTTGTTGCTAGATTGGATATGGTTGCGGTTGAAAATTAACAAGAATTATTTATATTTATTAAATTTCCTATTTATTGTATTTTGTTAACATCTAACCCAACCGTCACAGCACATTTAAAAACAGTAGTATAGTACAGAGTATTATTTGTTATCTATTAAATTACCCAATAAATAGGTTTTTTTTTTTTTTTTTTACGTCTACCCCCACCCCAACCCTAAACCCAAATATCACAGTACTGCCGTGTATCCGATTTAGACTGTACCGTGTGTGCGTGGGTAAATTCATGTAACCAGAAGCTTTCATGTAACCAGAAGCTAGATCTCACTAGCACAGATGTATTTTTTTGTAGTCCCCAAACTTCGTTCATTGTAGGCTTTGCTAAGCTAACTCTGTAAAAGCCAATGTCTCCCTTTGCATTAAACTTAGAGCGTCTTTTCTTCAGAGATGTTGTTTATGTTCACACAGCTACATTACACATGAGCTAAAGCTTAAAATATGATATCGTAGTGGACCACCTCTTTAATGTAATGTCCATGGCGTGATTTATGCATGTGGTGTATGCAATTTTATATTGGTTTATATTGTTTACGTGGCGGATGTTGCACGCTCTCTCTCTCTTTCTCTTTATTAACATGCTGAAATATTTGTGCTTCATGACAAGTTAAAAGCTTTTTTTTTGTCCTAGTTTATAATTTTTAGGGTTTGAATCTGATTTGAATGAAACGTAAAAATTTTTTTCCTGCTTACACGTACATGGGCCATATCTCATCTGTGCCACATGGAAGAATAAAATCAGAATTGGGTCACTTGAAGCATGCAGTGTAAATGCAGCCTAATTATCGTCAATTGGCTGGGTATGTGATGGTTGATATAAAGTTAGCTTTTTCTCTTCAAGGTCATCATGAATTCAGAATGAATGGTACCTACTTTGTTCACACTCCTTCCTGGTTTCATTCTGCTTTTGAACTTTTTATTTATTGTTTTGTCGTTTAAAAGACACTTCAATGCTGAAACTTTTCACCTCATATTAATGCCTGATAGAAAACATGGGAAATAATGCCAGGACTCGCTACCACCAGCAAAATCTTGCTTTTTCCAACTTTCACTTTTCAATAGGTGTTTCTGTGTGTGTGTGAATATCTTGTGTTTCTCTTGTGTGTCAATTGTATGAAATGGGATTGTGTTTGTTGACCTTGCGTAACTTTAAATCTGGGCATAATCCTGATAGCTCCTCTATCTACAGGTTGTATGACTGCTAGTTATTGTCCAGCATTTCCTAAAAACAATCTGAAATGTGCAGTAATGCATTTTGTTCATGGTTGAGCAACACTCCTACTTCAGATCTTGTATCTGGAGGATAAACAGAAAAGCCAAAGTTCTTTTTAAATGCTTATTTCCTATAAACTTGGTACCTTTTTATTATCTTCATTTATATTTAGAAATGGGTTTGGATAATGAATTTAAAAGTGAATTAGTTACAATAATGATTTAGTTTTTGTCTGTCAGATTACCATAAAATGGGTAAAATAGTAACGTGTTTTTAATATTATTTTTAGTTTTTTAGTTATTTAATTTTCTTTGATTGACTCACAAATTGTAATTAACTCATAAGGGAAGAAGCTTTACATACAAAATATCCCATATAATAAAAACTAAATTTTTCAAAAACATTTTGTCTATTTTGAAATGCACAGAGAAGGCCATCGATACATTTTTATATTTCAAATTTATATTTACATACAAAAATTTTATATAAAATACATTTTCTATATTCTGAAATGCATTTAAAATATATATTTGACAGGATTGTAGGCCAGTTTTCTATTTAATTTAATGTTTTTTTTATGACATTAATTTATTTTGAGACATGAAGGTTGGAATTATTGAAACGTTAATTTTATTTAACCTCACATTTACAACATATACACAGTTGAAGTCAGAATTATTCACCCCCCTGTAATTTTTTTTTCTCAATTTCTGTTTAATGGAAAGATTTCTTTCAACATATTACTAATCATAATAGTCTTAATAATCCATTTCTAATAACGGATTTATTTTATCTTTGCCATGATGGCAGCACATTAAAGCTTAAAGTGACATTTAAAGGCTTAACTAGGTTAATAAGGCAAGTTATTGTATACCGATACTTTGTTCTGTAGACAAAAACAGCTTAAGGGGCTAATAATATCGATCCTAAAATGGTTTTAAAAATAAAAAGCTGCTTTTATTCTAGCTGAAATAAGACAAATGAAAATTTGTGAAAATTTTTAGCTCTGTTAAACATTGTTTGAGAAATATTCACTGGAGGGCGAATAATTCTGACTTACACTGTAAATATTTTGGCAAAATATTTTTCTACTATATGGGGTATATTTGTTAGATAATGTGACAATTTAAAGTTAACAAGAGCTAACAATATTAATATGCAGTTTTGATTTGATGTAATGACTTTCTTTTTATATTAAGAGAAGTGTTTGTGTACAGTGCTTCCGGAAAGTCTTCATAGCGCTTCTCTTTTTCTAAATTTCTTTGTTACAGCCTTATTCCAAAATGGATTAAGTTCATTTATTTTCTCAAAATTCTACATGCAGTACAGTTCATCTTCCAGCAGGACAATGAACCAAAGCACACCGCCAAAATATCAATAAAGTGGCTACACAACAACTACGTAAATGTCCTTGAGTGGTCCAGCCAGAGCCCAGATCCAAACACTATTGAACATATCTGGAGACATCTGAAAATGGATGTACACAGTCAATTCCCATCCAACCTGATAGAGCTTGAGAGGTACTGTAAGGAGGAATGGGCACAAACTCCCAAAGACAGGTGTGCCAAGCTTGTGGCATCATATTCAAAAAGACTTGAGGCTGTAATTGCTGCCAAAGGTGCATCAACAAAGTATTGAGCAAAGGCTGTGATGCACAGGTGATTTCAGCTTTTTTATTTGTAATAAATTTGCAACCATTTCAATTTTTTTTTACATTGTAATTATGGGGTTTAGTGTGTAGAATTGAGAAAATAAATTAATTTAGTCCATTTTGGAATTAAGCTTTAACATAAAAAATGTGCAAAAAATGAAGCGCTAATGAATATTTTCCAAATGCACTGTATATCCAGTAATACACGTTATTAATAAAAGCATAGTGATGCAGATAGCATGTATAAATTTGCACTTACAGGAAACCTATTCTTGCTTGTTATAAATCATTTGGATAAGATGAGACGTGCCACTGATTTGAAACAATAACATGAAGTCTGATGACAATTTTGTATTTTGGAGGTATAAAACATGCTCCTGTCATGCTGTTTTTAGTATGATTGATTCCTCAGGCTTTTAAAAAAGCATCAACTTACTCTGATGCCATTTCATAGGTTTTAAATAAATAACTATTTGCTTTTTTGTGAAATTGATTTATTGCATATATTTTAATTGTGTATAGTCAACCACTCTGTTCATGGTCAAAATTAAGTGTTTTTTTTTTCTCATTGCTTGCTTTATTTACTCCCATACAAAGCCGTCAACTGTGTATTTGTGAGTCAAGATAACAGACATGATCCAGTCTCCCCCGATGCCATCAGTCCACAACACACCACATCAGTGTGTGAAATATGAGTCCAGATCTGCTTTGTCTACCACCAGCGGTAGTGTGCGTACGCCCTGTTGGCTTCGGCCATCTTGTGAAGGTCATGTTTGCGTTTAATCACGTTTCCCTCATTAGCGAAGGCGGCGAGCAGCTCCTGCGAGAGTTTCTCGTACATGAGCGTGCGCCCTTGCTTGTTGGTTCTGCACTCTGTGATCATCCACTTCATGGCCATAAAACGCCGCCGGTTGTCTGTGAGAGGAACGGGCACCTGCAGGACCAATAACGTAAGAGTCAGTGTTTGATATAGTTTAATAAGCTTGAATGCTACTTTACTTTTTAAAGTTAATGCTGAGAATAACTGCATGACTTACAAAACCTGTTTCAAAACATTGGTATTCAATATGATGTTGTTGTGTAAATGAACAGCCAAAATGCATTAAAAGTTTTTCTTTTATGGTTGAAAACTGTCTTGTTAATGCTTTACTGATTGTGAATGTGAACAGTTCATCCACTGACCTGGTAAAACTTCCCTCCTTTCTGAATGCTGGCCAGGCCGATGACGGGTTTGCAGTTCTCCATGGCCTGATGGAAGATGGCGTACGGGTTGCACTCAATCTCTTCTCTCCTAGCCGCTGGAGATTTGTGGTATTTCTCCACCTGTTTTCTCTTTATGGTCTCCAGCGTCTAAATGGGAGCCAAACAAACATCCATGAAATCATGTCCAGGCTCATTTCAGTTATTTCAATGTGATGTTAGACTAGTGTATGTAATGTAATGTAACATACCTGTGTCATGATTCCTCTAGCAAGGACTTTGTTGCCGTCATACATCATCATGTTGATGAACTTGCTGTTAGAAAAAGAAGACATTTGTCATTATATAAGCAGGGTATCTGCAGGGTCTTAAAACGTCTTAAGTGTCC